GTAGAGAAGTTAGGAGTTGAGCAAAACTAAATCAAGAGTATTCACATGTGATATATATTAAAAGAGTGGGTTGTAATAGAATTTAAAAAAAAAAAGAGTTATTCATGTTTATTGATGTGAAATGGATAACTATGAATCAATGTTACTAAAAAAACATTTGAATAGGTCTGAGAATGTTTAAGTATATTGAATCCAATTATATAAATTATGGTGATATCAACAAGAATAAGACTTACTAAAGTTCAGAGTTGTGGTGAACATAGAGAATGCCCTGGGAAAGTATCATGCTATATAAGATATCATGAAAATTGAAAAAACAAATTTATAAAATTGTAATTTGACTTATTCTTTATGTATTTGAGTGTTGGATCATAAAAGAATTAGTGTGATAGTTAAAACAAATATGATGTGTCTTAAAATTAGGAAATATGGAGTTTAAATGGTTCCATCTATGAGGTGGTGGAATAGCATTTATTGAATATAAAATAGTACAATAACAACAACATCAAGCCTTTATCCCACAGTGGGGTCGACTACATGAATCTTTTTTTTCCTATTGTGTCATGTTAAGAGTTAAATTCTCATTTAAATCTAATAAAAAAGGACATTTCTAATATTTTCTGAACAAGTCTTTTTAGGTTTACCTCTGCCTTTCTTAGAGTAAGTCAAATCTAAATCTACTTTCCTTACCGAGTTCTCGGAAGGCCGACGTTTTATGTGACCAAACCATCTAAAACAACTCTCTCTAATCTTACCTTCCACTGGAGCTACTCCAACCTTTTCACATATATGCTCATTTTGTATCTTGTCTATAAGAGTACAACCACTCATCCGCCTTAGCATTCTCATCTCTGCAACACTTAACTTAATATTATGCTTCTTTTTCAATGGCCAACATTCTGCATCATAAAATATTGCAGGTCTAACCACCATCTTATAGAGTTTTCCCTTTAGTTTGAAGGGGAATTTTCTATCACACAACAAGCTCGATGCATTCCTGCACTTCAACCATCCAACTTGAATTCTACTAACAATATCCCCATCTATTTCACCATCACTCTAAACAATAGACCCAAGATATCAGAAACATACTCTTATTAATGACATGATTATCCAAAATCACAATCCCCCAATTAGATCTATTACTACTAAAATTACACTTCATCTGTTTAATTTTAGATCTACTCAAACGAAAGACTTTAGACTCTAAGGTTGACCTCCATAATTCAAGTTTACCTTCAACTCGCTCTCTAGTCTTATCAATAAGAATAATATCACAAGCAAAAAGCATATACCAGGTACAACCTCTTTCAAATGTCTAGTGAGAACATCTATGACTAAAGCAAATAGATATGGGCTTAAGGCTCTTGGTGTAATCCAACTGAAATAGGAAAATACTTGGTCAAACCACCTTGTGTTTGAACACAAGTAACAACTCTTGCATATATATTCTTAATGACTTGAATATAATCATAGAAGTTAGAAAATGCTCAGATAATATTGATATAATTTAATATTAGTTGGATTAAGAAGTAAAATTGGATTAAGTAAAAGAGATAGTTCACATGTAATATGACTGGAAGTTCTGAAAAAATATTGAAGTAAAATATAGTTGCTATCTTATGTTCCACTAAACTTGAATGAATGATGATAGTTGGGATAAAGCTACTGATGATGACACTCTTGATCATAAATTGGATTGATCTTTATGGAGATTTAGAATAACTACAACCAGGTTATAAGGAGCCTAATGAGATTTAGAACTGTAGTTGATTTGGAAAAATATGATTATTTTTAAAATAAAATATTGATGCAAGTCTGGTTCATTTTCTAAGTGCTATTTTTTGTACATTTTTTTTTTGTTTGCGACATTGTTTATTTGGTCCCTCTGAACTAAACATTAGTGAAGATGTCATTTGTTCTTTGTATTAACTATTCCACATTATCAATAAAGGGACTTCACATCTAAAAAATCAATGTTTTCTTCTATCTTTTCAAACTGTCATTTCCATATCCTCAAATGTATCTTCATTGTGGATGATTTCACGCAAGTGGTAGCGCCAAAATTTTTTCCTTGTGGGGCGCAAATAATTGATTTTAAAGAAACCCTAAATCTTTTTCATTCTGTTTTGGGATCGATATTGACGACTTTTTAAGTTTTCTAAATGTATAAGTATTAAAAGAATAAATTATATAGGAAAAAATATAAGGTACAGCGGAGAATATTTGCTCTTCATATTTTCAATACATGTTACTTCAATTTCTTTCTTCGAGTCTTCATATTTTAAAATCATTGTCTAATCCTTTCATCATCAATGTTGTTCAATTTATCTTTTTCAATATATGTAATCAGACAATCATTTATCCAGGAGCCTCCTATATAATTGCCTAAACAATTCTTTATAATATTCATGGCTGAGAATGCCCGTTCAAGCATTGTTGTAATAATTGACAAAATCAAAGCAATCTTTAGTAGTAATACCAATGGATAATTATTCTTCTTAGTCTTCACCAATTTTTGAGCAAGTTCTCTCATTCTTTTCAAATTCGTAAATGTAGCACTATATCTCATATCAATAATAAAATTATCAAGTTGGTTGTCTAATATGATGAGATTTATATTTGATAATTTTGATGAATAAAAATCTATGTTGCACCGATACACGTATTTACGAAGGTATACAGTATCGGACACGTGTCAAATATGGATATGTGTCCGGTACGACTCTGATATGTGTCGGATATGACAAAGCCGTATCCAATTAAAATAATATTTAAATTCAAAAGTTAAAAAAAAAATGAAGAAAGCAGCTCATATTTCCTATTCATTTTTGCGACTCTGAGGGTTTAAGTATTTCCGCAACCATCAGCTGTGAGTTAGGGCTTTTCGATTTTCGTGACTGCAAGCGTGAGTCTTCTTCGTCATCGTCGAAGGAGCAACACACGAGCACGTGGAGTAGGCGAGATGAGGCAACACGATTGCAGGAAGATGATATAGAAGTTCAAAGAAAAACCCATGAAGAAGTTAATCTTATCATTCCTTCCCTTGAATAGTTGAAACTTCATGTGTTAGACAATTTATGTTTATGTTTTTATTGTTGTACTCAACATTTTATGCTTACTTTCATTTTGATATTATAAGCTACAATACTACAAATGATGTTGCTTTAACTTTTGTTTGTCATTTCAAATATTATGCTTTGATTGATTTCTTAATTTTTATGAATGATTTATAGATTATAATGATGTGTCCGCGTCATACCCGTATCCTGTATTTTTAATAATTGATGTGTCCCATATCCGTGTTGTGTTGTATCCGTATCGCCATATCCGTATCGGTGCAACATAGATAAAAATTGGCCAGGCTTATTAATCTTGTCTTATCAAAAGTTAAAAATGAATCACATGGATTCAAGTAATGTCATGCAAGTATTTATTTCATCAAATCTATTGTTGAGCTCTTAAAGTTTCATATCAATCATAGTATAAAATAGTTCAACTTGATAATGATGTCTATTTGTGATTACTTTAGCTTTTCGCTTTGATCTTCTTCGCATCATAAAAGTATCATCCATATTTGAAACAATTATATTATTTGCCGCACAAATAAACAAGCATCTTTTAGCAAAATGTCTCAATTAGTGCCTCTCATATTTTGGAGCATTTGCTTAGATACCTTTACCAAACTTATGACATTTATGATGTCTTGATCCTTTCTTTGCGGCACCTATGATAACTCATTTGAGACCCCCAATACAGCATTCATCATATGCAAATTGAAAACAAATTTAAAGCATTGTATAGAATCGAAGGGCATATGCTTAACCGTTTTTCTATTTGCTTGAACCATCTTGTGTTATTATCTCAAGAAGCTCAATATATATTTAAACTAAAGTATTAAATTGATTAATGATTCATAATGTGAACCCCAACGTGTATCTCTAACATATTGAAGAGCTACTTCCTGGTTTAAGCCTCTACCTCTAGATGCTTCGTCATTCTGTAGTTGTTTAATGATTTTGTTATATTGTTTCTGCCATAGTATTTCTTTCTCTTGAATGAACTTCCAATAATATTTATTAAATTATAAACTGTATTGAAAAGTGAAGCAATTTGGACATGATTTTTAGCCACAATAACAAGTGCTAGTTGTAGCTGATGGGTAAAACAATGCATATAAAAAGCTGAGCAGTTTTCTTTCATGATCAACGCTTTTAGCCCATTAAACTCACCACGAATGTTGCTAGCTCAATCATAAGCTTGTCCACGTAATTAAGATACACTCAATTTTCACTTTTCAACCTGACACGGTGAAACTGTTTTCACTTTTTTACTTTGTTATCTCTTAGTTAGAGGTCAGAGCTATTGGAAGAGAGAGAAATACCTTGTGAGTTGCGACTGGAGTACGGAGGAAGATCGAGTGGGGATTGAGGAGTGCGGTCTGTGAGGATGGAGGAATATCGAGGCTTTGCCGTAGGAAAATTCCGAAGTGCCAGCAATTAATTCGTAGTTGAGAAGAAAATATATATATATATAAGGCTCACGGAGAGCAGACTCGCGGAGGTGGAGGTTGGATTTGAAGTTCTGTAACTGAAATATTAAGGTTAAATAATTAGGTTTAGATGATAGCTTTTTTTAAATATGTATATTAGCTAACTATGCGGATGCCCTGGGGGGCCATGCCCCCAGGGTTCCTATCATTGGTTTGCTTCTGTTTCATGCTATATACTTCATAGTTGCATCTTACTCTAGACTCTGAATCCTCTATCAAAATCTACCCTTAACTTACGGATGGTTATGCCATTATATGCTTTGTAACTTTTTAATGTTTAACCAGCCTATGAAAATATACGGCCGCATTATATTCATTTGTATAGAAAATTCTAATCGCAACTTTGTGATAATCTATTTACTTCCACTTTTATATAGTTTTCATGTACTTGTTGATGATACTTTTTAAGCACGCCTTCCATTATTTTCACTATTTTTTTCTTTTACAGCAATTTCAGGAGTGCCGACCTCCTATCAGTCAGACTATTCTATTTATCAGGTTCATATTCCTTCTTGCTTCTTGTACATTAGTTCAGTCTGATATTAAGATATTGAATGGCTTTTTACTACGGTGATAAGGCATTAAAAGCTGACCGCCATCTAAAGACTTTTTTGCGCTTCTTACTGTATTTCGTTCATTTGGAACTGGGAGGAGTCGCTTCTAAAAGAAACTTCTTATTGCTTCATTCTTCGGTTGTTGGGTTATGCATGGAGTGAATTTGCTTTGCCGCTGGAATTAGTTCTAATTTTAAATAACTGGGGGTAGATTTGTTCGGAGTAACAAAGACATTTAATAAAAAAAATTTATCAAAGCCCATGCTCCCATAGTCTACCCAACTATCACAAGTTTAACCCCTAAGCAATCTATTTTACGAAAATTGAAGATCTATTTGGGACAATTTTTTCAATGCTTTGCTTTCCAGAAAGATGTGATGGTTCAGTTTGACAACAATTTTTTCTGCCAATTTTCAGAAATTTTGAGATATTAAAACAGTTTTTATAGTTAAATCTATTAAACTGTGATAGTTGTAGCAGCTGATCCAAAGGAATTCTAGTTGTTTGGATGAAGCGATGAATGTCAATCGTTTTGTAATTTCATTGCTTTCTATTCACTAAAGAGCATTTGTTTGCATAAGTGGGAGGTATTGAGGTACTTTGTAGTAAAATATAGGGCAATTTTTAAGGCAAGACCTGGAGACTGCCGAAATGCCTGAATTTTGATAGGAAATACTTGTTTGCATGTAACCCTAAGGGAAATACTTGAGTTCACAAGCAAACCTAACAGAAATTGGCCTAAACAGCGGGAAATAGTTCACAAGCAAACCTAACAGAAATTGGTCTAAACAGCGGGAAATCTTGCTGATTTCAGAGAGAAATAAGCAAGACGAAGCAGAAATTTCAGAAAAATTAGAAAGAAAAACAAGGAAACTTCTTCTATTCAATCAACAAACAAAAAAAGCAATACAAGATACAAGTTTCTTCCAAATTCAAGATGAAAAGAAAACTGTAACCAAAAAGACTAATTAAAGTCAAAGGACTCTTACAAAAAGACTAAACAGCCCTTACTTCAAACTTTCACTCCTAAACAGCGATTAGATTAAGCAATTGGACCCACTAGGGCCTCCGCCCCCCTCCCCTTGGTTCCGCCCTCCACCAGGCTTGTGCCGCCTGCTGTAGCAGAGAACTGGTCCAGATTGGATTGGTTCGACTGGCCCAGGGGCCGGCCTAATAATTTGTTGTTTTCTTTTGGTATGACAAAACTCTATTCATTTTATTTTTTTTCAAATATCCTTGTGTTTTGCAGGGAGCTGGCTATAGGCATCATAGCAGTGGAGCTTATGCCCCACGAGGACCATATTATTACTGACGGCTTCTTCGCTATTTATATGGTTTTCACTGGAAAGACGAATTGGTGGCATAATTGTGTCCTTTGTAAACTTGTCTTTCTATTTAGATTTCCCATAGATGGAAAACCAACCTTTGGTATAATTATTTCCCTTTTTTTCTCCACCCTGTTTGCTTCTGGACTTTTAAATGGTTCTAATATTTCCCAAAATTCTCTTATTGGGGAAAGCTTGTTAGGCAAATTTTATGTTTTTCTTGTTGAGGATTATGGAAGAAGTTCAAACGCCAATATACTAACTATATTGAAGTTTTAGTTTTCTATTGGTAGAAATCTCATTTGAATGATCGGAAGGCTAGTAATGTCTGAGAGCCTACTTCACATGTGATGAATACAATGCATTGTCAAGTTTCTACAGATCCATTAGGTTTATATGATTTTTCAATCTTTTCATTGAAGTCAGATTTTTTTTTTTTTTTTCCTCGAGATAAACGTAAGAGTGGCTGAGATGATAGCCAGGATTCATAGAAATGTTCCTGTAGATCTAAGCATCTGCAGTTTTTAAACCCCTCCACCATGGCCAGTTAGGAGAAAACAGAGCACCACATGGCATTTTTCTTATGTTAAATAAATTTACACCAAGTGATTGTTCAGCATAGAGCCGCATCTAGCAATAAAAATATTTAACTTTTGATGTCTAATATCCACTATGAGAGTGTTATTATTCACTATAAGAGTGTTCTGAGCTGATATGATAACTCTTGGTGTTTATATTTTTGCAGTTTTCGCTGTGTGAATCTCTCTTTATGATTCTGATTGTATCCTTTTTTTTTTGTTTTAGAGCATGTCCCAAAGGTTCTGTTTGTGAATGAAATCTTACTTTGAGAGTGCTGGAACAATTATTACATCCTCCGACCGGACGCAGAGGAACGTCCGACGTCCGGTCGGAGGCCAAATCCCGCCAAAAAATGAGTTGTACCGAGCAAATACCGAGCAATACCAAACAATAATGAGGAATACCATCATTTGAAGACCCAATACCGAGTTATACCGAGCTAAACCGAGAAATACCGCGTTATACAAAAGTTGTACAGTTTTTCCTTGAAAAACTCGGTACAACTCGGTATTTCTCGGTACAGCTCGGTATAACTCGGTATTGGTCTTCAAAGAACGGTATTCCTCATTAATATGAAATAATACTTAGTTGTACCAAGCAAATACAGAGTTTTTTTGCGGGATTTTGCCTCCAACCGGACGTTCCTCTACGTCCTTACATCGGACGTAATAAAAATTCGAGAGTGTTGAGACTTTGTGTTGAGAAGCTCTGCCATGCTTAGCTCTATATATTTCCTAATCTCAAAAAGCGAGAGAAAATGCGATTTTTTTCGAGAGTGCTGTGGCCACCAACAACAACAACATCAAGCTGGTGTTCCACCATGTAGGATTTTGGCTACATAATCCCTTTTCTTATTTGTGTCATGTTAAAAGTCAAATTCTTGTATAAATCTAATAAATAAAGATCTTTTCTAATATTTTTTAACCAAATTTTTTTAGGTCTATCTTTATCTTTCTCAACATAAATCAAATCAAACACCTCTATTTTTCTAATAGGGTTTTATGTGACAAAATCATCTAAGACACTCTCTCTAATCTTATCTTCTACTAAGAGCATTGCTGCCACCACCCTTTTTTTTTTTTTTGAGATATTTGAGTCATTAAATTAAATTTATATGCACGTCATATACGCAAGTTTTGAATCTAAAACTTCTTGATTAATACTAAAAGCTCACAATCAATAGACTAAGCTGAATTGGGTGTAGCCACCACATTTGATATAGCCAATTTATCAGATAAAATCAGAACTAAAACTCTAGTGTAGTTTCTAGTAATTGTAGTTTTTTAATAGACCCTTCTTTTTTTAATTAATTGCACAATCTACATAATCCGAGTATATCAAGGCTCTAAACTTAATCGATATAAATAGTATAAATTGTTGATAAAATTCTTCAGTCGAATTGCCCGTCTGTATCAGACATTCAACATTGAGAACGAAAGAAGAAAACAAACAATTCTCCAATATTAATTTTAAAAGCCATCAATTACAAAATCTTAGCCTCAGTCAGGTTCAGCTGAAGCCCTAAACGCCGTAGAATCGCTCGACCTCCCCCTTCCAAAAACCGCATCGCCGCCAAGCATTCCTCTACAACCCGCTGATCCGACCCAGTCCTCACCACCGGCGGAAAAAACAACCAAAACCCCGTCAAAACCACAAAACCTAACGTCATTGCCGCCGACACAACTGGATTCACCATCATACCCTCGCCGGCGCGTCTCTTTGCTGCCTTCCTTATCCACCCTTCCACCGCCGTACACACACCGTGGAGCAGAAAGAAGCACGACACCTCCCCGGTCGGCGGCGCCGATGTAATATAATAGAACATGAGTTCGTGCATCACGCCGGAGACCAGAAACGTCGCCACGACCCCAGCAGGCGCGCCCCACCGCGCGCGCACGGGACCGTATACGGATGGCCGGAGGATTGCGGTGACCATAAGGTTCCACCGCCGGCCCCAGAAATCTTGGAGAGAGGTGGAGAGATAGGGAGCGTTGAATTGGGGCTCGAGATCTAAGCCGAGGAGAATGCCGGCGAGAAACGCGGCGGAGGCGAGGACGAGCTCGAGGCCGAGGTAGATGTGAAGGCAGTAGATGGAGAGGAGCAGGTGATGGGGGAATCGGTCGTGGTGGGAGTAGAGGGGGATGAGAAGAGAAAGGAGAATGGCTTTGATAGCGGTGGGGAGGAGATGTGGTGGTTTGGCCTTTGGGGAGGGGGAAATGTGCCGGAGCTTAACGGGAAGGACGGCAATCGGGAGGAAGGTGAGGAAGGAGAGCGAAGGGAAAAGGGGGCCGGAGTCGAAAGAAAGGAGGAGGAGCTTGAAGACTGCGAGCCAGCCGAGGAAGAAGCCTGAGATGCTTCGGAAGTGGATGGAGGTGAAGGAAAGGGGGAGGAAGAAGAGCGGCGAGATGGCTGGGATGAGGGCGAAGAAGCGGCGGCGGCCTGGAGTGGTTTTAGATGCTGCGAAGCGGGCGTAGGCCGTCAAAGCTGCCACTGAAGCAGAGACCTTGAGGAGAGCTTCCATGTCCCCTGACATAACTGGTTGTTTTTTG